AGATAACAATGTTTCACCGCTGCCTTAGTTCAGCCAAAAGGACCATATGGGAAAATAAAGTTGTAGCATGTCTCCCCAGCTTTCAGATAACTCTCTGGAACAATTTTCATCTTTCCCTTTTGGGAATCTTACTCAAGGTGAGATCATCCGAGGCTAGAGTTGCCTGAAGCTAAGGGCTATTATTACATTTGCCCTTTGAAATGTTTGGAATCCACAATTCCCTTGGTCACCTGAACGTTACCTTGTATTCCCTTATCTATTTGCTTGTATCCACTTTTTTACTTTCCTCATATATTTCGATTATACATTCTTTTGTGGCAGAGATTGTTTTGTTATGTATGTGTATCGTGTCTAGAACTACGGGGGCCTTAATCCTTGACTAGGGTTTGCAGGTTTTACTGCAATACAAATCTTTAATAACCATAATGGTAAGGGAGTAGCAGCAGCAGCCCAATACTGGAGAGCCACTGGCGATCTGTTTACCATATCAGTGTCTGAGCCAGTCTGTAATAACTCCAGTTTGGAATGCAAAACTAGAGAAAAATAGATACTTTATCATTTGACATTCCTAAGCCCCAGTAAAAGGTTGCTACAGATACTGATTTTATCCTTTTTTCTCCTTTTGATATTGGCTCAGTAGCTGTGCTGAAAAGGCCACTGGTTTTTGCCTGCAGTAGCAAACAATTGCCTCAACGTATCAAGTCAGAAGTGAAAGACCAAGGAGGACATTTTGCAAGACTGATGGGTGCATCAGAGAGCATTCACTAATACAAGGAGAAAAGGCTATGGCTGATGTTGGAGACACATGGCATATGAACATAATAGCTGCCTTACTGCATCAGACCATGGTCCATCTTACCCACTATCCTGTCTCTGACAGTGGCACATACCAGAGCTTGAGGGGGAATATAAAGAGCAGGGCAATTATGGAATTATCCACCCCAGTCTTCCACTCCCAGCTTCTGGTAGCCAGAGGTTTAAGGTTGCCCCCAGCATGGGGTTGCATCCCTGGCCATCTTGGATAATAGCAATTGATGGACCTGTCTACCAGGAACTTATCCAATTTTTTTTTTGAACCCAGCTATACTTTTGGTGATCACAACATCCCATGGCAATGAGTTCCACATGTTAACTGTGCATTGTGTGAAAAAGTACCTCCTGTTGTGTGTATTCAACCTGTTGCCTATTCATTTCATTGGGTCACCTGTTGTTTATATTGTGTGAAAGCATAAGTAACACTTTTCCTGCACCATTCATGATTTTATAGACTTTTATCATATCCCCCCTTAGTTATTTTTTAAATCTGAACAGCCCTAATCTTTTTAGTCTCTCCTCCTATGGAAGTCATTCTGTAATCTTGATCACCTTTGTTGCCCTTCTCTGAACCTTTTCCAGTTCTACTATATCATTTTTGAGATGGGGTGACCAGAACTGGACATAGTATTCAAGGTAATGGGCGCATCATGGATTTATATAGTGGCATTATGATATTTTCTATCCTTTTCCTAATAGTTTCTACCATTGTGTTAGCCTTTTTGACACGTGCTGTGCATTGAGCAGAAGTTTTCAGAGTACTACCCATGATGACTCCACAATCTTTCTTCAGTGATAACAGCTAATTTAGACCTTGTCATTGTATATGTACAATTGGGATTATTTTTTCCAATGTGCATTACTTTGCATCTATCAATGCTGAATTTCATCTGCCATTTTGTTGCCCAGTCATCCAGTTTTGTGAGATCCCTCTGTAACTCGTCACAGTCTGTTTTGGACTTAACTATTTTGAGTAATTTTGTATTGTCTGCAAACTTTCACTTCACTGTTTACTGCCTTTTCCAAATCATTAATGAATGTGTTGAGCAGTACATGTTCCAGTATAGATTATTGGGGAATTTACTGTTCACCTCTCTCCATTGTGAAAACTGAACAGTTATTCCTACCCTTTGTCTCCTATCTTTCAACCAGTTACTGATCCACGAGAGGACCTTCCCTCTTACCCCATAGCTACTTAGTTTCCTTAGAAGCCTTTGTGCAGGACCTTGTCAAATGCTTTCTGAAACTCCAAGTAGAATGTATCCACTGGATCACTCTTATTACCAGGCTTGATGACTCCTTCAAATAATTCTAATAGATTGGTGAGGCATGATTTCCCTTTACAAAAGCTGTGTTGACTCTTACCCAACAATTGTGTTTATCTACGTGTCTGATAATTCTATTCTTTACTATAGTTTTTACCAATTTACCCCATACAGTCTCAAGGGCCTGTAATTGCCAGGATCTCCTCTGGAGCTCTTTTTAAAATTTGGCATTACATTATTTACCTTCCAGTTGCCTGGTACAGTGGCTGATTTCAGTGATAAATTACATACTAAGTTAGTTAGGACTAGGCATCTATGGAGAGAGACATGAAACAGGAGATTGCCATGCACTAGGTGCTTAGAGTCTTACTGTTCTGACACTACATTGAGCTATACAATAGGCTTACAGAGAGTATATATCCCTTGCTAATCCCTGCTCTTGCCCAGTATCCTGCATTACAAAATATAGAAACTGACTCATACAGAAACTGACTCTTCATGTACACATCCTCCCTGTTTCTGCCATTTAATCTCCCACCAGGAAAAAGTGAACATATGCATTATATATTGCAGAATATTTTGAAAAAGTGATGTGTATATCTTTCAATAAGTTTTGATGTGGAAATATTTATCAGTTTTTGGATTTATTATATTAAAGTGCATTCTACTGCCATGCTGCATTTGCTCAGGGTGTAATTGAATGTTCATCTACCTCTATCTGTATTTCCAGGATATGGTTTTGTGGCCAGGGAAGCAGAGGGTCCACCAGACTAGCAGCTCGAACAAGCATTTCACTGATGTCTGTGCACCACTTCTAATGCTTTCCAGCACTTATCATGAAGGCCCAGAAAATCATTTACCACCACTTGACAGCTGTCTTGCATTTTTTAAAACTCCATTATGGACATCTCTTACCAGGCAACTTCTCTTACCAGGATATGAATGTTGCAACCGGTCTTGGTGTAGTAAAAATGGCAGCACCCACTGACCCATGAGGACATCCATTGGAGAACTATGTAAATTTACCAGCATATAGTGGGAGTGTGACTCTTCTTCCCACACTGCCTACTGTTGGGGCTACGGGTTTTTGTGGTGATGGAAAAGTTACGGATATCATGATTTCTCTATCTGTGACTTTTCTCTCTGTCCATGATTTTAATAAAGCACTTAGGCGGAGGGCAGAGCCTGGGAGGGGTGCTGAAGACCAAGCCCACCCCACAACAGAAGCTCCTGTCCTGTGGGGTTGGGCCTGGCTCCCTGCTCCCGGAGTTGTGACTTAGTGCATGGGGAACCTCTCAGGTTTGGCCTGGTTGTCCCTCCATAATCACAGGATGGCGGCCAGGCCAAATTTGAGTGAGTGGTGTTGCGATATGGCAAGGAGCTGCTGCTGCCCAGGGTGAATGCAAGACATGTTTGCTCTCAACCTCTGAGCCCAGCCTCGTGGGACACAGAAGCTACCGCTTCCCAGGGTGAGCACGGGGCGGTCTCGCTCTCAACCTCTGGGCTCAGCCCTAGGGGACTTAGGAGCTCCTGCTGCCCAAGGTCAGTGCAATGTGGGCTCACTCTCCAGCCCTCTCCCAGGGCCTCCCACCCCTGGGGGCAGGACCTGACCCCCCCCACATAACCCCATGACTTTACACAGTTTTGACCTAAATCTGTGACTTTGATTAAATTTACTCTGACTGCTTCATGATTTTTGTTTAAAAATGCCATAATAAATCTGCAGCCCAACCTACTGTAGTAAGAATGTACTGCTCCAAGGAGCAGTAATGAGAACTTTAGAATATATTTCTAGAGGGCACTGCACCTCCATTAATGCACATAACACTAGAGTGGATGTAGGAAAAAATGAGGTCTTTAAACTGGTGCAACATGACATTATCAAGCAGTGGTGTAACAATGAGTGTAAAATAATGAGTTGCTATACTGCCGATTGACTTCTCTTATTGGGGATGTGGGAGAAGGAAGGAAAGCGTAGAATTGATAGCTTCCCCAGTGAATCCAACTGTTAAGACCTCTGGGCAAGTTGACAGTTGAATACATACTAGAAATTCTTCTACTTCTACAATGATTTGTGCACTGTGGGACAGCAGTGGAAGACTATTTGAACCAACTGTGTTACCATAGTAGTGTGATATGTCCACGCAGTTATCAAGCGAACACCAAGTGTAGTTTACCTTTATTTGTAATCTGAATAATTTGCAACTGTCACAAAAAATTGATAATAAGAACCTGCCACATTTTATCAGATCAATGGTCAATCTAGCGTGTTATCCCTGGTACCAGTGCTTCAGGGAGACTGTACAGAACAGGGTAGTTGGAGCGATCAACTAGTCTTCCCCTTCCTGCTTCTGGCAGTCAGAGGTTTAGGGTTGTCCCAAACATGGGGTTGCATCCTTGACTATCTTGGCTAATAGCCGGATTAATTTATCTAGTTCTTTTTGAATGCAGTTATATTTTTGACCATGACATCACCCCCTGGCACTGAGTTCCACAGGTTAATTGTGCATTGTGCAAATAAATATTTCCTTGTGTTTGTATTCAGCTTACTGCCTCTTAATGTCATCAGGAACCCTCTGGTTTTTGTATTTTGTGAAAGGATAAATAACACTTCTCTATTAGCTTTTTCCACACCATTCATGACTGTATAGACCTCTATCATATCCCCCCTCAGCTGACTATCAAATTTGGGAATGAACAGCATGCCCCATCAACTGAAGGGCAAACTAGTTGTTTTTGTTCCAAATGGGACCCCAGAAAGTATTTTTTGTCATTCTGACCCCTCTAACACTCAATTTCTATTGTAGAAACTAACCTAGGATCCCAACTTTCTAATAAAGAGGTAATTGGAAGTGACTGTTGGACCACAAACTGTTGCTGAAGGTGCAACTAAGGTTATTTTGGGGAAGGAAGAGAACTTACGTTTAGTTTGCCTGCAGGAGGTGGATGTGTATCTGAAAACAATTGCAGGTTTCACAGGAGATACAATCCAAACCATAGGTGATGGGCTGCCCTTCCCCGCACTGCTCCTGCTGCCTGGGATGGCACTAGGATTGCCAACCTTCCAGGAATTGTCCTGGAATCTCAAGGAATTAGATGAATCTTTAATTAAAGATTGTCATGTGATGAAAGCTTCAGGAATAGGGCCAACAAAAACTGGCAACCCTAGATGGCAGGATGCACACACCTCATGCTCCTGAAAAGTCCTCCCTTCCCTTTCCCTCCCTCCTGCTCTTCCAGGCTCCAGTCAAAAACTGCAGCACCTGGCAGCTTTGCAGGCTGTGAGAAACACTTTTTGGGGCAAAAATCTGTCCGGGAATTGGCCCTGCTTTGAGCAGGGGGTTGGACTAGATGACCTCCTGAGGTCCCTTCCAACCCTGAGATTCTATGACTCAGCCACGCCTCCGAGCCTGTGTCCGCTGCAGTCACATACCCGTGGCAGGGGTCCCCGCCCGGCAGGCTGAGGCCGCTATCAGACCCTCGCTCAGCGAGCTCTGCTCCGGCAGCTGCCCCTCGCCGCCCTGTACGCGGGGCGAAAGCCCTGGCGGGCGGCTCCTTAGTGCGCAGCGCTGGGGAGATGCCCCGAGGGCCGGTGCTCAGTCACGCCGTGCCCCAGGCACAGCCTCGCGGGGATCCAGCCTGTTTCCGCCGGGCAGCTGCGGCCGCGCTATGCGAGCCAGCGCCGAACACCACCAAGCGCGGCTCGCTGTGTCTGGGCCAGTCGCAAGAGCGTCATGGATGGCGCATGCGCACTGCTAGCGGCTAGCGCTGTCTGCCCAGCTTAACCGCATCCCTCCCCAACACAAGAAGCGCCGTTTGCCAATTGAGCGCGCTCACGGGCTGCCAGGCTCTGGTGCGCGCACCCGCTCAGCACTCTTACTCCTGGAGCGCGCTCCCGCTCCCTGACGCGCGCTCCGCGCTATGTCTCTCGCGCCCCCTCGCTCAGTCAGTCGGAGGCTCCGTTAAGCGACGGCAGGTTCCTGTTTCCGTATTTTCACCCCCCCACACCCGCATCCGCGCGCCGGCGCCTCCTTAGAGCCGGCACCCGCAGCAGGGGGGGAGCCCGCGGGCGGGCGGTGCTGCTGCTACTCAGGTAAGGGGGTGCGGGGGTCCAGGTGAGGAGCCGATTCGGGGCTGCTCCAGCTGCCGCTCCCCATCCCTCCCTGGGCCTGGGCTGCGGAGGCTCGAGCGACTGCCGGCGGTGGGGGAAGGGGAGAGCGACCCCCGCCGGGTGCCAGGCTCCCCGCGCGGTGGCACGGGCCGGGGCCTGAGCCGCTCGGGAGCAGGGGGCTGCTGAACCCCGGGGGCGGAGGGGCCGATGGCCAGAGCACGGGGAGCCGCGTGCGAGTCCCGAGCTTCCGCAGCCCAGCAGCGGGTCGCAGGGGGAGTGCGGAGCGGGGTCCGCGGGCGGAGGCGGCGCTCCGGGGGCCGGGCTGCCGCGGGGTGCGGGGAGGGGAGCGCTGCTGTTGTCCTGCGCGCCGCAGCCGCCGCGAGTGAAGAGGTGGCGGCAAACTTCACTCACCCGGCAGATGCCCCGGCCCTACTGTTCGTCTCTGTAGGGTGAAATGACGAGCAGAAAATGCTGGTGATGGGAGTGGATCTCTCATGAGTCCCCTTAACGTGAAGGGCCCCGGGGAGCCCAGAGGAGTGACTGTCCCACGAATCCGCTCCGAAGTCAGTTACTGCCGGCGCTTGCCCACACGAGGATCTTTAACCATGTTCCACCTCGTATTAATTTACAGGAGTTGTAGTCTAGACAAGGCACTGGTGCTTGTTCCCAGGCATGTTTAATTCTAGGGATGCCATGGCAGTTGACTGTTTATGGCAGCACCCGCTGTGTGCTAGTTGCTTTTCAAACACTCAGAAAGGATGGGCCTTGTTTAAAAAAACACACAATGTAAGGATAGACCAGTAAACAGAGGTTAGGGGAAAGGGGACTAGGGTAGTCCTATTACCTGCAACTTATTACTCCAGTCATCTTAGTTGTTGCCTTGTGCTCTCACACAACTGTTTTTGTTTATATCACCTTGTCTCATTATTTAGATAGCATATATAGCACTTGAGTGCAAAGATCCAGCATATGCTATATGTTGTAGGATTGGGCCTTAGACTGTAAACTCTTTGAGACAGAGACTGTTTGTGGGTTTGTCTACACTACGGAGATTATGCTGACATAGCTATGTCAGCATAGCCTTATAGTGTTGACACAATTTATGCTGACAGAGGGATTTTTCTATCGTCGTAGGAACACCACCATCCTAAACAACGTGAGCTATCTCAAGCACTCTTCTGTTAATATATCTATGTCTACTTTGGGAGTTATGTTGGCAAAACTATGTCAGGGGTATGGTTTTTTTTTTTGAACACCCTGACTGACTATGCCCATATAACTCTCATGTGTAGACCAAGCCTATGCGTGTACAGCACAGAGTAGAGTGGGGCCATGGCTTGCCCGTGCTAACCTGTTGATGCTACTCCAATACAGATATTATACAATGATAAATGTATGTCTGGGAACATACTTGTGTTCTGCTTATATTAGAATTTACAATCATGTTTAGCTGGTGTGTTACAGTGGCATTTTAAATAATTTTCTATCAGTTTCTAGGCATTGTCTAACGGTCAAGGGGATACTTCAAAATGGCCATTTAGAAGTGAGGTGGTTCTTGGGTTTCACAATATTATCAGGTCCATTTTTTGAAAATCATCCTTATCCTAAGTAATGAAAAACTCAAAGTTGTAAACTGTATGGGCAACTATAAAGACAGTTGATATTTGCTGGTTCCCTGTGTGGTCACTAAAAACAGATTTTACGGTAATCTTTTTACATGTATTAAAGTTCACAATCAACAATATTTATATAGGTGACTACAATTTGAATCACAGTCTTGTATTTTTAATAATCTGTATTTGCTTGGATGCTGCAGCTGTACAAGCTTGTATACTGCCAAAGTTGTATGAGCACTTGCCTAAAATAATTTCAAGATGAAATCATTCTGCATTGTGCAGCGAAGCAGTGTTTTGCTGTTTCCCCCCCCCGCCCCTCAATACACACAACAATCCAACCAATTTTTCCATGTGTAAAGTGTAATTAATTATTCATATTTCTGAGCAAGCTATTCAGTAATGAGGATAAAGTAAGAAGCAGATACTGGAATGCTGAATTGCACAAGTTCAGTATCTGAGACACAGACAACTGGAGATGTGTATCTGACAGCTGAAAATTGTAAGGGGTCTTAAAGTTGTAACTGCTTTTTCTCTTGTTGCTTGCTTTGTTTAGAATCTTGTCTGAGTAAATTAGCTAAGCAACTGAAAGGAAACTATGATTACAAGAACAGGTGTAAAACATCTTTATACTTGTTCAAGAACCAATGGATTAATTAATTAAAATCAGCAAGGATACTAAGATCCATAGAAACAATGAGGAGTCCTTGTGGCACCTTAGAGACTAACAAATGTATTTGGGCATAAGCTTTCATGGGCTAGAACCCATTTCATCAGATGCAACTGATGCCCATGAAAGCTTATGCCCAAATACATTTGTTAGTCTCTAAGGTGCCACAAGGACTCCTCTTTGTTTTGCTGATACAGACTAACCCGGCTACCACTCTGAAACCTAAGATCCATAGGGTTTTACTAGTTTCTGTAACTAATTTTAATTGTT